GCACTGGGAAGACCCAGAGGGATTGGGTGGAGAGGGAGGTGGGAGGGGGGACTGGGATGGGGAATACATGTAAATCCATGGCTAATTCATGTCAATGTATAACAAAAACTACTGTAATGATGTAAAGTAATTAGCCTCCAACTAATAAAAATTTAAAAAAAAAAAAAAAAAGAAGCAATCTTCTAACCAACTGCTGATGTTTACACGTGCATTTTTTAGGGGAGAATCTTGCTGCTTCCATCGCCACTCCCTACACTACCTCTAATTTAATCACGAAGAAATCTGCCAGGATTCCCCTGGTAATATTAGGGCAGCAATCATTTTCTTCTCTAACAGAGCTGATACTCGATCAGATTGTCCCTTCTATTTTCAGAGTTCAGAACACTTTTTATTCAAAAAGTAAACTGACAAATCTTATGGTACACACCCTTAAGGAAAAAGCTGTGTGGAATAGTGAAAAGGGCATTAAGTTTGGAATCAACCAAGTGACCCTGGATTTGAATCCCACTAGGAAAACTAGGAAAAGCTATTTAACCTTCCTGATCTCATTTTGTTCAATCATACAATGATATCACAACAACACCCTTACCAGGTTGTGAGGATTCAGGATGAACTGCCTAGCACTCTACCAAGCACAGAGTGGTGGCCTAATAAATACAAACTAGTGTTATTAAGATATTTGAACCACATAGAAGTCATGTAAAGTGAAAGAAAAAAAAAACACAAATTTTTGTTTTTCAACACTTTCCCACCAGGTACCTAACTCTTCTTATTGGACCTCAGTGGAGTTAATCACTTTCACGCTTGCCCGTACATTACTGGATTTACCACCTTGCACTGAAATTTCGTATTTACATGCTTGACTGCCTTTTCTAGACTACTAGTTTTTCAAGAAAAGAGCGCACACCGTTAGCATGGCATTTTCAGTGATTAAAACTGTTCTAGAACTCTCTTACGGTGGCCAATTGTATGTCTCGACTAGGCCACAGGGTGCCGAAACATTTTGCCAAACATCATTCTGTATGTGTCTATGAGAGGGTTTCTGGAGGACCTTAATATCTGAAACCATTGACTGAGTAAAGTAGATTGCCCTCTGTAATGTAGTTAGACCTCACCTCATCAGCTGAAGAGCTGACAAGAAGAAAAAGTCTGAATAAGAGGAAAGTCATCTTGCCTGACTGTTTGAGCTGGAAAATTGGTCTTTCTCAGCCTTCAGACATGGACTGAAACATCAGCCCTTCTTGGATCCTGAGCCTGCAGGCTTTCAGCCTGGAACTTACACCACCAGCTCATGTGGTTCTCAGGCTGTTGAACTCATAGGGGGATTACAAACACGGTTTCCATCTTGCAGACTGCCCATCTTGCAACTTTTCAGACTCCATAGTCAGGAAAGCCAATTCCTTACAATAAATCTCTTTATATATAAACATGTGTATCCTATTGGTTCTGTATCTCTGAAAAACCCTGACTAATGCAACACTAAACAGCTTAACTGATATTTGGTGCACTGATCTGATCTCGCAGAATGGAAAAGCACAACACACTGGTTTTGCCTTTGCCTTATTTCTTTTTGAAAAACAAAAGATTTTTGACATTTCAAATGTCCCCAAATAAAAATTGCCCCCAATCCTATGGTCAAACAGACTTAAAAAAGAAAAATCTCTCCCCAGTTTATGAGTTCTATGAGAGGGACGGCTCTTTTGATGGATTTTAAACATTCACCTCAGAAGAAGAGGTTTGGAGTTTTGAACGGAATCTCAGCCTTTGATCCTCAAATCAATTTCTGATGGAGAAACACAGCTCTGGTTTTGACCGGAGGAAGCTAAAACATTGAAATGAGGTGTTTTTTTTTTTTTTTTTTTTTTTGGACATTAAACAGTTGTTTTTAAAGATTTCATGATTTCATTGTAAGTGAATAAAACACATGTGGATTACATTTTCTTAAAATGCACAGGTTTGAAAAATTAAGGAACCTGGTTTGGGTTTGATTGAAAAGTTTTTGCAACTCAATGCCTATCTCCATCTTCCATTTCTCTGCCTGAATGTTTTCTTCTTGCAAAATCTTTTGATCTCATGAACTCAACATATACAAGAGTGACCACTAGAATGTGAAAGATGAAAATCAACCCTGGGAGAAGTTTTTTTCCGAAATTTAATGAACCCCAAGCCAATCACTAAGCACAACTCCTGAATTTCTCCTTCTGAGAACCCCATACCACCAAAAAATATCAAACTATTTCCAAATTTCTTTAAGATTGCCATTTAAAACACTATGTCATTGAAGTTTGGATCTTTAATCCTAAATCTAATATTATTTCTATATTTATGAATTGTTTGATCCTTTATCTTGGGCTTCCTGGGGGACTCAGATGGTAAAGCATCCTTCTCAATGCAGAAGACCTGGGTTTGAATGCTGGGTTGGGAAGATCCCCTGGAGAAGGGAATGGCTAGCCACTCCAGAGTTCTTGCCTGGAGAATTCCACAGACAGGAGCCTGGCAGGCTACAGTCCACAGGGTTACAAGGAGTCGAACATGTCTGAGCAACTAACACTTTCACTGATCTTTTATCTCTGAGGGTAGTTATTTCACTTTGTTAAAAACAAACAACAGTTTTCTTTCAAGTGTAGGATATTTTCAGGAGAGAGAAAAAAAAAACAAAACAAAAAAAACTGTTGCTGCATTCCAGAAAAGGTAGTGAATATGTGCATTCAAATGGCCTTCTCTTTACATTTCTATAAGAAATGTGAATTCTGATTTTGGAAAACAGAAAGTTTACTTGATCTTGAGTTCAGAGGCAAGAGTCACACAATAAACCTTTACTGCACACTTTTTTCATTATTTTCATTTTAAATAGAAGGTTTCTCTTTATGAAACTGTAATTGTTAAATAGGAGGGATTTGAGAGGGATTTTAAGGGCTCAAAAATCAGTAAAAGCAGAGATTTTGTGTCACTGCTGAGGTGGTAAAAGGTCACATGGGGTAACTGGAAGCTCTGGAGGGTCCTGGGGTATACATGTCCGTGCAAGCTTGCCACCAGACCACTGTGGTCTGCTTTCTACACAGACATCCTGTGGTTTGCTGAGTCAATAATTGAAGCTCCCAAAGCTTCTTCCCCAACAAAAAATATGAGCCTTAATAAAATTGTACTGACTTTGTGTGTAAAGAGTGCAACAGTGAGAAAGAATCAGTGAAAGAAGAATGCATTATTAGGCTTATCACAGCACTGCCACCAAAAATAATTATTAAGCACCTACTACGTGCAAGGCTTCCCTGGTGGCTCAGAGGTTAAAGCGTCTGCCTGGAATGCGGGAGACTCCGGTTTGATCCCTGAGTTGGGAAGATCCCCTGGAGAAGAAAATGGCAACACACTCCAGTACTCTTGCCTGGAGAATCCCATGGAGG